GACGAGACAACATCTACTGTATTCATCCGCGATTAGTTAGTAGTTAGTTAGACTTAACTATGGTAGTATGGGAAAATTTATGCTACTACCTTATACTACTGGTAGAATGCGACATACTTACCAGCCCAGTTAACACTTCGAGCATGCAATAAATAAACATCAGATGGACCATCATTGGTAAACCAACAGCTATCAAGATGAGACAACTTATCACTGTTAGGAACGCTCTGACCACACCCACCACATTTCATCAATAGCGGAACCTTCCATGGATTACCCGCTGGTTTGACTGCCATAGTAGTAACGGGAACTATGGGAACATAACATACACATTTAATTAAAATATGAAAAATGTAGTATATATGTGTAAATGCGTAATTAACACTGCTTTAATAATGACACTCCACTAGAACGACGGTAGTTTTATGAGGCATGCGCACAACTTCCTGTTAATAGCGGTGACATCACTCACACTAAACGAATGGTGTCACAATAGGATACCGATGTGCCTTGCAATGCATGCAGGTAAAACTTATGATCTAAATTTTACCATCAATGCAGAGTATATCCACAGACTACTGACCTTCAATTTGATCACAGTTCTTTGTACGTTTCCCCCTGACCTTCAGTAGTCGCTTCACCAAATCGGGTTTGGAACCATTAACCGAAAGACCTTCCTTCTTAAGTTTGATTTTTAACTCTGAAACATTGAGATCTGATAACTTCAATCTATCAACCAACTCGTTCTTATTCCCACCGATTGGAAGGTGACGCTTACGTAACATTTCCTTTAGTCGTGGCAGGTTTTTATATTTGTACTTTTCGGATGCTTTCATATCTGTAAACAAAGGGCACAATGAATGACACAAGAAGGGTAAAGAGAAAGTACGGTATACCATGAGTATACGAAGATTTTGCAGTACAGAAAAGATAACAGAACCGAAATATCACCACAGACATTTTTATTTCAGATTCAATTCGTATCTTACTTCTGAACTCTGGAGT